CTTGTAGGCTCAAGCAACCCTCCTGACTCGGCATCTCAAAGTGCTGGGATTACAGGCATGAGCCACTGCACCCAGCCTTATGTGTTTTAATACATCAATTTTTAAAGACCAACAATTCAACAGAAAAGCATACAAAGGATGTGAACAGTCACTTCTCAGAAAAGCAGATGCAAGTGGCTCTTCCACATGTGAGAAATGCTTGATCTACTCATAACTAGAGAAATGCAAATTCTCTAATGCAAACTGCTCAGAGCGAACTTGATTTCTAAATAACATTCTCCAGTGAAAAGAACCCGAACTTTTTGGAGGAATGGCTGATTCTAGAGCTGGGAAGCAGAAAATACGAAATGAACCTGGAGCATCTTACAGTGTCATAAAATAAGGAAATAGCGGGGTGGGAAGATGGGGCCTGTTAAGTTCACAGGAGCTCACTTATGTACTGAATGAAGTCTCTAATGAAGGGGGCCTAAGGGCTAAATTGAAACAACTTAGCTAACCAAATTAAGTATGATGGTTTTTTAATTGTAACACAAAGAATTAAATAAACAAGTGAAGAAGAAAAAAATCTTCCTTAAAGCTATCCTGCCTTCTTTCCAGGCATTTCCTGATGTCATCCTATAAGACAAACCCTGGGCTGGGGCTGGGCTATGACAGTTCCCCTCAGGCGCTCACAGCCTGCTGGCAGGATGGACGGCGACGTGACGAGTGTGCAGTCACCTCACATACAGGCACCCACCCAATTCTCCTCTTTCAGCTTCTCTAGTTCAGCGCCATATTTTGCTTTTTCTCAGTATCCGTTTTGTAAATTAAGATATAAATTACATGAAATAAAATGTACCCATTGTAAGTGGACAGTTTGATGTGTTTTGACAAATGTAGGTCCCTATATAACCACCACCCCAATCAAAATAAAGAACATTTCTTAGCACTCCAGGAAGCTTTTTCCTGCCCCTACTCCCGGCTACCACTGATCTAATTTATGTTACTGTAGCTTTCTTTTGCTTGTTCTAGAATTTCATAAAAATGAAATTATGGAGTAGGTATATTTTGAGTCTGGCTTCCTTCCTTCAACATACTGTCTGAAGAATGCATTACTTTATCAAAGCGGAGTAGTATTCCATTGTATGGCTGTTTCTTTATCCCTTCACCTGTTGATGGCCACGTGGTTTCCAGTTCAGGCTATAAAAATTATGAGTGGGTCAGGCAGGATGACTCATACCTGTAATCCCAGCACTGTGGGAGGCTGAAGAATTCTTTAAGTTCAACAGTTCAAGACCAGCCAGAGCAACATATTGAGACCCCATCTCTAAATTAAAAATTAAAAAAAGAAATAAGAGGCTGGACACAGTGCCTCATGTCTGTAATCCCAACAGTTTGGGAGGCCAACACAGGTAGATAGCATGAGCCCAGGAGTTCAAGACCAGCCTGGGAAACTTGATGAAACCCCACCTCTACTAAAATTACAAAAAAACAAAAAACAAAATTAGCCAGGTGTGGTGATGCACACTTGTAATCCCAACTACTTGGGAGGCTAAGGCACAAGAGTCGCTTGAACCCAGGAAGCAGAGGTTGTACTGAGCTGAGATCTTGCCACTGCACTCCAGCCTCAGCAACAGGGCAAGACTTTGTCCAAAAAGCAAAACAAAACAAAACAAAATCAGAAAGAAGAAATATGAGGGGACTTCCAAAAGTTCATGGAAATTGAATTAAAATGTAAAAAAAAATTTTAAACTTTATTTCTCAACACAAGCAAGCAATCAAATCACTTTTTTTTTTTTTTAACAGAGACATGATCTCACTGTGGTTTTGTTTGTTTGCTTGTTTGTTGAGACAAGGTCTCACTCTCTCACTCTGTTGCCCAAGCTGGAGTGCAATGGGAAGATCACAGATCACTGTAAACTGGAACTCTTGGGCTCAAGCGATCCTCCCATTTCTGCCTTTAGGTGTGAACCACCACACCTAGCCCTCAAGATACTTTTTAAAATGATGATACCAGCCATTTAGTTCAACCCTAAAGAACAGAGGGGATTTAACCAAGTCCATCACTTGCTCTTTTTTTCCAATATTAACTGGATAAAAATAAGTGTCTTTTACAGATATTTTTAAGATTAGGAAACAAAAAGAAGCCAGAAAGAGCTGAACCAGGACTGTACCAGGCACAAGTGCCCCAGCTCCCCACATCCTCACCAGCAGCTGCTAGTGCACCCTTTCCACGCCATTTCAGTAGACATGCAGTAGTATCTTATTGTGGGTTTAATTTGCATTCCTAGGTGTATAACAATGCTGAGCACCTTTTTACGTGCTTATTGGACATTCATATATCTCTCTTGGCGAATTGTCTGTTCAAATCTTTGGCCCATTTTTTAAAAATTGGGTTGTTTTCTTCTTATGATTGAGTTGCAGCTCAGAGCCATGGGTGTGTGTGTGTGTGTGTGTGTGTGTGTGTGTGTGTGTGTTTGAGATGGTGTATGTCTGAGATGGAGTCTCACTCTGTTACCCAGGCTGAAGTACTGTGGCACGATCTCAGCTCACTGCAACCTCAGCCTCCCAGGTTCAAGCAATTCTCCTGCCTCAGCCTCCTGCGTAGTTGGAACTACAAGGGCATGACACCACATCCAGCTAATTTTTTGTATTTTTAGTAGAGACAAGATTTCACCATATTGGCCAGTGCTGGTCTCCAACTCCTGACCTCAGGTGATCAGCCCGCCTCAGCCTCCCAAAGTGCTGGGATTACAGGTGTGAGCCACTATGCCTGGCCCAGAACCATGTTTTTAATATCACCAGTGGGAACCAGATTTCTCTCTGTAAGAACCCTTGCCTGGCCTCCTCCTAGGGAATTGTCAGTAAAATCCAAACCCCAGGTTCTGGTCCTCCGCAGTCTAGCTCTGCCCCTTCTCTGACCAGCTCCCCACATCTTCCCCCTCTGCTATCCCCAAACACCTTGGTTCGGTCCTTTCTTTGACACTCCCTGCCTGGCTATTCTCCCAACCAGTCAGACATCTGTTATCTGTTACCAGGAATACCTTTTTCAGGATTCTCTGGATATGTTTAGTGTTTATTCCACCACAACCACCAGCAGCAGCAGAAAGGGCTGGGGCCTTGCTGTATCCTAGGCACTGCTGTTGGATGAATAAATCAATGTCAAGAAAGGTTTCTCTGAGGAAGCAATACTGCATTCTAGTCACTGAAGAACAAGGAGGAGTTAAGTAGTGAAGAAGGTGGAGAAGCATTCCGGGTAGAGCGGTCAGCATGGACAATGCCTCTGTGGCCGGAGGGAGCATGGTTTGTTTCAGGAACTGTAAGAGGTCCATGGGAGAGGCAGTGGAGGGAAGCACAGCAAGGTGTTATATTTTCCTTTTATACCAAGACCCTGTGCAGGATGGGAAGCTCCCAAGGTGGGTTGGGTGTGTGTGTGCGTGTTTCTTTGTGGGAGGAGATGGAAGTGTTATGGGATCTTTGGGGTGTCGATTTTCTGGATAGAAACCTCTGTGGCCAGTGGCACCTTTGCCTGAGTTCTTATCTTGCATCCAAGAAGAATGAAGCACACGGACAAGTGGAGGGCAAGACAACAGGAGCTTTACTGAGTGTTAGAAAGCTCAGAGGAGACCCATAGTGGGTGGCTTCTCTCTGTGGGCAGGTCATCCCATTGAGTGTTCAGCTCTCAGCAGAGAGGAGGCTATGGAGAGGGTGGCTCCTCTCTGCAGCTGGTCCTCCAGCTGCTCAGTTCTGGCTGAGCCTGGTGCTTTTATGGGCCTCAAAGGGGAGGACGTGTGAGCCCAGTTGATCTATGGGCAGCTATGGGTGGGCCAGAAAGGGCAAGTTCTCACTCTGGTCCATTGGTCTGGCAGCCTTCAGGCCCTTGTTGGCCTGAAGGTGGGGCCTCACTGGGACCTGCCCCCTTCTGCCTAGAAATCTACTGGCCTCCTGCTACCATTCATGAAGCCCAGGCTTTCCTGGACTTTGCTCCCAGATCAGAGCAGGTGCCCACAGCAGGAAGAAGCCAGGGAGCAGGAGAAGGAACTTCCAAGCCTAGGAGGGCAGGAAGGCCTTCCCCGGCCCCTAAGAGTGCAGGGATGCCTGAGCCTGCAGCTGTGGTTTGGGCGGCTGCAGCTGTGGGAAGGGGGGCCCAGGACTCCTGTCTGCCCTATGGAGGAGGCCCGGGTCCACAACTGAGGTTTGGATGGCTGCAGCTGCACCTGGGAGGGCAGGGCTCTTGCCTGCTCCATTGAGCATGCCACCCAGGCCATGTCTCCCTGCTGCAGCCTGATGATGGCAGCAGCAGGCTGTCTAGAGACATAGCTGTCATCAGAAGTGACCAATGGCTGGTGATTGTCAGGAGTGATGCAAGGTCAAGAGATAACCAGGTCTGGCCAGGCGTGGTGGCTCACATCTGTAATCCCAGAACTTTGGGAGGCCGAGGCAGGCAGATTACAGGAGGGCAAGACCAGCCTGACCAACATGGAGAAGCCCCATCTCTACTAAAAATACAAAATTAGCTGGACATGGTGGCACATGCCTGTAATTCCAGCTACTTGGGAGGCTGAGGCCGGAGAGTCACTTGAGCCCAGGAGGCGGAGGTTGCAATGAGTCAAGATCACACCATTGCATTCCAGCCTGGTCAAGAAGAGTGAAACTCCGTCACACACACAAAAAAGTCTTTTTCTAAGATGGAGTTAGTTATGTCAAGGGTGCACTATGCTGTGCTATAAGCTCTCCCCTGCTGCTGAGAGAGAAAACTTAAGGGCCTCTTAAAGATGCCATCACAGCAGTTCAGTGGGGAGGTGGCAGGAATGCTTTGGGCTCTAGTGGAGGTCAGAAGCGGACAGAGATCAGGGAAAGCTATAGGAGGTGAAGGTGGGAGGACCTTGGTGACAGACTGCCAGTAAGGAGGAACAAGGATGACCCGCAGGTCTCCACTAGTTGGGCGGAAGGAAAGGAGGGGGCAGTGCCCTTTACAGAGGCACAGGAAGCTGGGTCTTGATCACGCTGAACTCCAGACGCTCTGCAGATGTGCACACATGAGTGTGGTGTGTGTGTGTGTGTGAGAGAGAGAGAGAGACAGAGAGAGAGTTGTGTTAGGGTGAGGGAAACTGCAGGTCATGGAGTCCTGCAGATGTGCGTGCCTGTGTGTGGGTGTCTGTGTGTGTTTGCGCCTGTGTGCGTGTCTATGTGCCTGGAGCTGCGCGTGCTGGTCTGAGAGTCCTCCAGGGTTGGGTTGGGGGAGGCGGGTGCAGGACCAAGGCCTGAAGAGCCAACAAAGAGGCCCTGGGGGAGAGTGGGACGGCCGAGGACAGGAGGGGTGGCCAGGGAAGTCGCAAGAAAACTCGGGCCCCCAAGAAAGAGAGAGGCTTGGGGTGCGAAGCCGACATCAAGGCCGGGGTCTTTGCTGTTTAGACGCCTGGGTTCCCGGATCCCGGACACGCGCACGGGCAGGAAGTTAGACCAGACACAGCGAGTATAGACAGCCCTTCTAGATAGGGGAAGACAGATGGGACCTCCGATGGGGTGCCGGGTCGGTGATCTGGAGGTCTCCAGCATCCAGGACGGGGGTGAAGGAGAAGGCGGGGTCGGCGGAGGCCCCAGGCCGGGGCGTGGGCGGGTCGGGCCCAGCACCCGCGGCCGCCGGGGTCCGAGGGAGAGGGGCGGGGCGGAGGAGCGGGTGGGGGTGGGGGCGGGGCGGGGCGGGGCGGAGCGGCGGGGGATGCGCCCCTGCTCTCTAGCCAGTGTCGCCTGCCCTACTTCCGCACAGCCAGAGTTTCCGCTTCCCTCCGGGCGTGGGGAGAGGGGAGCCAGGCAGAGCCTGGGCCCTGCCGCCGCCGCCATGTGGCCCCCGGACCCCGACCCCGACCCAGACCCCGAGCCCGCCAGCGGCTCCCGAGCCGTCCCCGTAGTTCCGGGGCTCCGCGCCCTGCTGCCGGCGCGCGCCTTCCTCTGCTCGCTCAAAGGCCGCCTCCTGCTGGCCGAGTCCGTGAGTGCGGAGGGACCCTCGACGGCCCTGCTTTTGAAGGGGGACGTCTGGGCGCGGGTGGATTCCCTGGGTGGCGGCCGTGCTCCGATGCCCCCCCTCCCCGCGCAGCCTCGGCCGACTTTTCTCAGGCGCTTGGCTAAGTTGGGAGGAGGTCCCCAAACTTCGGACGGCGGTGAGGGGTTGGGGGGTCGAGCCGGGGCCTTCAGCGGCGCTGTCCCAGCGAGTCCAGAGCTGAGGCGCTCTCTGGGCCCCGGGGACTCGGCCCGTTCGGACCTCCGGTACTCCTGGGCCGCGGCGGGGTCCGCTTCCCTGCGCGGGGAGGGCGGGCCGGGGCCTCGAGCTGCGGGGCGCAGGCGGGGCCGAGCGAGCGCGGGCCGTGCGGAGCGGGAGGGACCCCACTTCGGGGACTGGGTGAGGCGGCCCAGCGGTGACTTCACTGCCCTCCTCCCCACCCCCGCCCGGCTCCTTCCTACTCTGCGCTCGCCCCCGCCCCGGCCGGTCGGGCTTCTTTGTCCTCTGGACACAAGAGGCGCCGGCACTGTCCGCCGTGGGGTGAGGGTGGTGCTGGGCCGCAGTGAATGGGGAGGGAGAGGCCAGGCCGGGGGCTGGGGGAGGAGGGAGGGGGGAGGAGGGAGGAGGGAGGAGGGAGCGGTGCATGTTGGCGGCCACTTATTGCTGAGATCCCAGCGACTTGGCGCTTTCTGCCCCTGTCCCCACTTTGCAGATGAGAGTGCTGAGGCGCCTGATTTGACAGGAGGCTCAACTGAGGGGTCCATTGAGAGCGGCCCGGAGGGTGGGGGCAGGAGGAAGGGGTATTCTGCCCTGGGACCTCTCCCGGGTCGCTCAGGGCAGAGGGCGAAGGTGGTCCTGCAGCCTCTCCTGCGGTCATCCCAGAGGCCACACTCCCAGCCCCACCCTGGAGACCACTGGGAGCCACTTGAGGGGAGAAGCCTGGAATCCACCGTCCCCTGAGGGGGCTTGACCCCTTCCCCCACCCAGGACCACCTCATGTGGGGAGGAGGTGTATGACCAGCCAGAGCATAGAGGCCACCCTGAGCCTACCGGATGTCAGGAATCCAGGTCAGGGAGGATAAGGAGGGGTGAGGGGTCTGTACTCAGGGTTCACAGGAGCCGCTGAGGGCACTCCTGCTTCCCTTGTCCCCTAACACCCACTCCCAGGACAAGCAAGTGCAGAAGCTGACTTGGGCAGAAACCGAGAGTAGAAGGGGCCCCAGAAATCGCGGGATGAAAAAACAGGAATTGAGAGGGGAATCCCCAGAATTAGGCTTTGGGGCAGGAAGGGGAGGGCCAGGAAGACAGCCTTTGGCAGAGGACCAGGGCTGGGTGGGTCTCACAGAAGGCCTTCCTGGCAGGCCCCAGCAGCCTCACAGCCCCTCTCTATGCCTTAGTCTGTCTGTCCAAAGGGGGCTCAGCAACAGCCAAGGCCATGTGCAGGGCGAATGGGGGTGCCCTGGGGACCCCCTGGGATCCCTGCAGTTCATTTGTCTGAAGCAGCCACAGTGCTTCCTGTGGGGCATCTGGGTGTCCCCATGGGGCCCCCTGTGCCCACTAGAAGCTACTCAGCCATGGATATGTTCAGACACAGGCACAATGACAGAAACCAAGACAGATGGCCTCTCCAGCACCCACAGGGCCAAGTTACTTAAGAACTCTATCTGTGGCGGGCGCAGTGACTCATGCCTGTAATCCCAGCACTTTGGGAAGCCGAAGTGGGTGGATCACCTGATGTCAGAAGTTCGAGACCAGCCTGATCAGCATGGTGAAACCCCATCTCTCCTAAAAATACGAAAATTAGCTGGACGTGGTGGCAGGCACCTGTAATCCCAGCTGCTTGGTAGGCTGAGGCAGGAGAATCGCTTGAACCTGGAAGGCAGAGGTTGCAGTGAGCCCAGATCGTGCCACTGCACTCCAGCCTGGGCGACAGAGCAAGACTCCGCCTCTGGAGAAAAAAAAAGAACTCTATCTGGGGGGTCAGCCAGCCCTGGGTTCAAATTCTAGTAGCTTCTGATTAGCCATGTGACAGAGTCTTCTCATCTGTAAGCGGGGCTGTGCTCATAGGTGGATGTGAGGGTCAGGGGAGATGCCAGTGAGCCTCAGGGCACCAGGCACTGTGGAGCCCAGGCTGGCCAACAGATCACCTTGGCCTGCTCTGCAGCACACCTGGGCTGCAGGACTGACCAGAGCTCAGCATCCTCTCCCATCAGCTCTTCCCACCTACAGAGTTGTGGGAAAGGCTGCAGTGAAAATTTTGATTCTTGTAGTTCAAGTACAGCTGGTCCTGCCTTTCACAGCTGGCCCTGTATGAATGAGGCAGTGGGGCCTGAGGTGTCAGTGCCAATGTACCCTCCCTTGGATGTTCCTTTCTTATTATGAGAATTTGCAAATGCATTAAAACGCTGAAAGATTTTTTTCCTTTATCTATCTGTCCATGAATCCATTGTGCCTAACACAAAATAAGGACATCAGGACATTTGAACTCTGAACACTTCAGCTTGCATGTCATTAACTAAAGAGATCTGTCTTTTGTTTTCAAGGTGAAATTTACATTCAGTGACAAGCACACGTCTTTGGTGTTGGGTGTTACTTTTTGGAAACTGGTTCCTGCCCAGCTTGGATTTGCCTCCGAAGGGCACTGAGTGGGGTGGATGTGCTTGGGAGGCTGGGGCTTTCTGACTGGGTCCTAGTGGGGAGACAGGGCGGGGTTAGGACTCTGGGCCATGCTGGTTTTTTTTTTTTTTTTTTTTTTTTAGTGGGGGCACAGAGTCTCTCACTCTCTCACCCAGGATGGAGTGCAGTGGTCTGATCATAGCTCACTGCAGCCTCGACCTTCCCGGGCTCAGGTGATCCTCCCACCTCAGCCTCCCAAGTAGCTGGGTTTACAGGAACACACCACCACGCCCGGCTAATTTTTGTATTTTTTGTAGAAATGAGGTTTTGCCATGTTGTCCAAGCTGGGGTTGAATTCCTGGGCTCAAGCAATCCACCTGCCTCGGCCTCCCAAAGTGCTGGGATTATAGGTGTCATCCATGGCGCTTGGCGTGGGATTTTAATCTGGCTCTGCCACTTCCCAGCTGTGGGACTGTGAGCAGCTGGCTTCCCCTGCTGGAGCTTCCTCTATCCTGACCACAGGTCCTTGCTCAGAGGAGCACTCAACAAGGAGCATGAAAAGGCTCTGGCTTCACCCTAAACTCCTTGCCCGCAGGGTCTCTCGTTCATCACTTTCATCTGCTACGTGGCGTCCTCAGCATCTGCCTTCCTCACAGCACCTCTGCTGGAGTTCCTGCTGGCCTTGTACTTCCTCTTTGCTGATGCCATGCAGCTGAATGACAAGTGGCAGGGCTTGTGCTGGCCCATGATGGTGAGGACAGGGGCTCCAGGAGGGAGGGGTGCCCTGCAGAAAGCAGCCAGATGAGGAGTCCAGAGTCATGCACTTGGGCCCTTACCCTTTCTCCAGTGTGCTGGAGTTTGCAGTTGGTTAGTACTGGATGGAGAGACCCAGCTTCAGATCATCGCAGCTCCACTACTCAGCAGCCCTGCAGTCCGGAGTGGGCTGTGGTGCCTCTAGAGCAGGTCTGTGAGGCAGGGAACCCGGCAAGGGGTCTGTGGCCACAAGGTGGCGCTGGTAATCCCCACAGGGTCTTAAGCTGCAGTCACAGGAATTCAAGCCATTTCCACGCAGGCAGGGCAGGTTAACTGAGGATATGCAGGGCCTACCCAGACCTCAGCCATCAGCAACCCTGACCTCGTTTTATCACCTGGGAGGGCTCAGACCCCAGTGGACTTCGCTGAATGAAATGTGTCCTAGAGAAAGGGCAGCAAAGGCTGGACTTGAACCATGGTGTCTTGACTTCATATCCAGCATCCGCCACCTCAGGAGGGCTGCACCCTGTGTCCCCATCTTAGGGACGGGTAAGCAGAAACTGTAATCCATAAATGGATCTGCCACAAGAGTGTGGCAAAGCAAGACCCAGGGCCAGATCTCCCCATTGGAGATCAGGAAGGGAGCAGGTGGGGGTGTTTCCAACTTCTGCTTCCTCCAAGTGGGCCATGTCACAGGGCAGGCTGCAGCCTGATACACAGTTTTTTGTCCAGAGCTTAGGACAGCAGCCCCGCTGGACCCTGGATACGGCAGTGTCAGCTGCTGGCAGGGCAGCAGAGGCATCTGGGGGGCATGACAAGGGCCTAGGCATGTGGGTGGGGCCAGGGCAGGGTAGGAGCCCTCAGGTGTGAGGCCTGGGGCTGGGAACATGACCAGGCTGCTAGGCCTCCTCCCCATGCTGTGCTCAGCTCCAGTGGGCTCAGGGCAACATGGTCGCACCCCTCTCTCCCCAGGACTTCCTGCGCTGTGTCACCGCAGCCCTCATCTACTTTGCCATCTCCATCACAGCTGTCGCCAAGTACTCGGATGGGGCTTCCAAAGCCGCTGGGGTGAGCAGACGCCCCACCCTCTGGAAGCTGCAGATGCCCCTCTAGCTGCTCACTTGGGGTGTGACCTGGGGCAGATCCTTTCTCTGCTGGGGCCCCCCTGGGGTCTCATATGGGTCCCGATGATGATTCCAAACTCCTCTTGTTAGAGATTTTGAAAGGCTGTTTGTCAAACCAAGTTCACATCTCATTTTCCCACTTCCATTATTTGGAATGTGTAATTACTGTGCCTGTCACTCTGGCTGTTTGTCCAAGCAGGTCTGAAATGGCCCCCAAGGCTGAGGCAGATGCGTCTCAGTGCCAACCCGCTTGTTCCCAGCCTCCTGGAACAGGGAATCAGCCCTGTGATACGTCCCATCCACTCTGCCCACAGGTGTTTGGCTTCTTTGCCACCATCGTGTTTGCAATTGACTTCTACCTGATCTTTAACGAAGTGGCCAAATTCCTCAAACAAGGGGACTCTGCAGATGAGGCCACAGCACGCAAGACAGAAGGTGAGCAGCCACCCTGATCACCCCAGCAGTGCTGTGGCAGGGGCCTGCCCTCCTTTGGGGATGGCTGGCAAGTTTAAGGCTGGGGTGGGATCATTTGGTCCCTCTGATGGCAGGAAGTATTTTCACAACCCATTCTCACGTAACGTCATGCAGCACTAATCACAAAGCCAATCCCATTCCCCTCATTCCCCCTCACCCAGCCTTTCTAAGAAGGGCAAGCAGTGGACATGGCAGAGCCTCGGGCCAAGCCAGCAAGTCTCCCTGGACAACCCCCCTGCCACCACCCTGGGCAGCCAGTCACTTTCAGAGCACCTGTCCACCTGGGATCCAGAGTAGCCACCTCCCCATCTCAGCCCCTCTGCTGTCTCACCCACCCAGGCCTCTCCTGAGGAGCTCAGAGGCCAGACAGGAGTCAGACCCAGAAACCATGGGGAGGGACACATGACGTGTGCCATACCAGGGGAAAGGCCAGATGGGGCAGCAATGACAATAAAACAGGAGCCAATAGAGGGAGGGATACAGCGGCTGAAGGTGGGCCCACGCTGAGTGCCACCCGGCCTGGGGGTTCAGAGGGGACGCTAGAGCTAGGTCCTGATGGATGGCAGTAGAGGAGTGTGCAGGCAGAAGAGACCAGGCAGGTGCCGGGAAGAAAGCTGAGAGCACAGAGAGCAGGGGCTTCCGCTCAGGGAGATGCTTTTCTAGACCTAGCAGTGTGCCCCTGCTGGCAGTGCCTGTGGCCCAGCAGGTAGACCAGGGCAGCTCTGGAAGGGCCTGCAGGCACCACCCTGTGGTTGGGATCTTCCCTAGGGAGGACCCAGTGGGTTAGGCTTAAGAGCCACTAGTTTCCTAACAGAACAGCCAGGTGTTGGGGCCATGGGGACTGTGAATCCCAGAAACCAGTCCTTCTGCTGGAAATGAATGCCACTCATCCCATCTCGTCCCTTGGCAAATACTAGGGTAGAGCTCCCCGGTGGTTTCCTCAGGTTCTGCAACCTGCTGCCAGTTGCCTGCAGCATGTGCTCCCAGCCCAGGGAACAAGCAGTAAACATCAGCAGAGACTTGGGTGGGTTTTTTTTTTTTTTTTTTTACTATTTGGAGAGTTTCACATATATAACAATTATTTTGTTATAAAATTACTCCTGGCTTATATGTCAGAATTGAATACAGAGGTCAGGCACAGTGGCTTCTGCCTGTAATCTCAGCACTTTGGGAGGCCAATGTGGGCAGATCACCTAAGGTCAGGAGTTCAAGACCAGCCTGACCAATATGGTGAAACCCCTCTAATTTTTCTCCTAAAAATAAAAAAATTAGCCAGGCATGGTGGCACATGCCTGTAATCCCAGCTATTTGGGAGGCTGAGGCAGGAGAATCTCTTGAACCTGGGAAGGTGGAAGTTGCAGTGAGGTGAGATCACGTCATTGCACTCCAGCCTAGGTGACGAGCAAGACTCCATTTCAAAAAAAAAAAAAAAGATAAAGTGGCTGCTGCCTGTGGCGAGCCTCCAGCCTGGAGCCTGCCCTCATGCTAGCGATTACTGGGAGAGTAATATAAACGGTAGAGTCAGGTGCGGGAGGCCTACACCCAGGCTCCTGCCAGCAACCCAGCTGTGCTTCCCCAGAGACTGTTCCTGGGCACCGCTGCCCTGAGCCTCCTGCCAAGCATCCTCTCTGCTTTCCTTTCAGAAGAGAATTCTGACTCGGACTCTGACTGACGGCCTGGTGGTGCCCTGGCAACCTGAGCCACACGGGCCTCCACCCCTGCACCTCACAGGGGATGCTGACATTGGAGGGGAGGTCCGGACTTCTGCGTTGCAGAGGGGGCTGCAGACACAGCAGGCCCCCACAGCCTCAGGTCCCGCTTGAGCCCAGCCTACCAGGCTTGCCCCTCAGCTCAGCACTGTTGACCATGCTGTGCATGGGGGCATCTTGGGTATCCCACCCCTTCTCCCCATTTCTGTCCCACAGGCCTTCAGCCCTTCAACCTTTCTGACAAAAACCAGCACAAGGAGTCAAAGCAGAGCCCTGTCTCCACCTGGGCAGCAGGCATTCCACACTGTTAGGCGGCAGGGGTCGGGGGAGGTCTTCTGTGTTTCACTAACAAGAACAAAGACAGAAACTGTGACAGGGCTACCCCGCCAGGCCCAGTGGGTTTGTCTGCATTTAGTGCTTCTGCCCACGCCATGCACTTTGGTGACAATGACCCAAGAATCTTTGGTTCAAGGAGCACCAGTTCCTCTTCATTGCTGAAGCAGGGAGAAACTGACCTTTGCCTTATCGCCCAGGAGAGAGTGGGGCTCGGCACCCAGAACTGACACCAACCACCCTTGGAAACCATGTCTTCTGGGAGTAAGATGACCATTCTGGGTCTAAGACTGTTTAAAGAAGAGCTCATAGACTGACTGATCGCAAAGACAGAGGGTACCAAACAGTGATGTCACAGTGACAGTGTCACAGGGAGCTGGGCAGGCCCAGCCAAACCCTCCTTCTTCCTAGAGCCCAGTCAGCAGGCAGGAGTTCCTGGGACCCTCAGGATGGTGAACTTCCAGACCCCAGAGCAGGTCTATGGGCCACGCCGGGAGATGATACCAGCCTTCTGTGTTCACCTAAGGACTTATACTGTGTATCTTTGATGGACTTTTATAACTTTTTATATTTTTTTAAATATAAAAGCAGCTTCTTAACAGATGGCATTTTCTGTGACTCTAGGCCTTGTGAAGGAGCCAGAGTTTGGAGGATTTATGGCCTTATTCTCTTGCATGTGAATCTCTTACTCTGAAAAAAAGCCATAATGAATGAAGCCAGACTGACCACTTGCATGGAGTGTGTGTTTGAAAACCCAGAGCAATACTATCTGGTATCATATCAGGTTCAATACCAACTGGCAACACTGGTGTGGATCCTGAGAGCCTTCAGTCTTAGCAACAATACACATGAAATCTGAGTACCATTTAATCCTTTCAGTGGTCCCTAACCTTTTTGGCACCAGGGACCTGTTTCGTGGAAGACAGTTTTTCCACGGACCAGGGATTGGGGGATCAGTTGGGTTGAGGGTGGGAGGGGATGGTTTCAGGACGAAACTTCATCTCAGATCATTAGGCATTAGATTCTCATAAGGAGCACACAACCTAGATCCATGGCATGCAGTTTTTAATAGGATTTGAGTTCCTCCGAGAACCTAATGGCACTGCTGATATGACAGGAGGCGGAGCTCAGGCGGTAATGCTGTGCGGTGTGGCTCCTAACAGGCCCCATGGTACCAGTCCACTGCCCAGGGGTTGAGGACCCATGCTCTAGTTCTCAACACTATGCTGTTTTACAAACAAAAAACTGAGACAAAGGTTGAGTAACTGGCCCAGGGCTCTCTCACACATCAGGATAGTGTCTCACGGCAGCCTCAGGCAGCCAGAACCCAGGCTCTCCTGGTTTGGAAGCTGATTGCATAACAGCCCGGAGAGTGGCAGCCCTGGAGGACTCCAGTCAGCATTCTTGTCCAGGCTGAGGGGAAAAGACAAGACTTTCTGGCCAAACTTTCACACACCACATGTACTGAAAATGTGTATGAAAGCTGGGTGTGCAGGAATGGAGAGGCCGCTGGTGGAATATATGTTCCACCCTGTCAGCCCTGGCAAAGCTGCAAAGCTGGTGTCAGAGAGCCTTGTTCCACCTTGAGGATCATGGCTCTGTTCAACCTGTTTCAGGAACTGGATCTGTTGCCTTTAAGGAGCAGAGGAGGCCAGTCAGAGTGAAGAAAGAGACAACGACATCCTTACACGTCCATTTATTAAACAAGAGTTCCTTCATGACAATTTAATACAATAGTTATTAACGATTAGTGTTGAGAAAATTATTTCCTTCTACATACAAAAATACAGATTTGAACACTATGAAAACGATCAAGACAAGTACCATGAAAAATTGGTCCTTCAAAAGAAAGGGGGGAAAGTGAGGGCAATGTGAGGCTTTGTCTGCTGTCGGGGACAAATCAATAGCAGCAAAGCTTTGGGGTCCCAACCCACTCCAGACATACAGACTTGAACCCAAGAGCCCGTGAGCTGGGGGCGCCCACCCAGGGCTTCAGCGTTAGCTGGAAAACCAAACACATAAACCAAAGTTTGCTCAATGGGCATCACCTCAGAAAGCCCACAGTTGTGTCTTGAAACAGCCAAAATGAGAGAGATTTAACAAGTAAAATGCGATTGTTAACACTGCCCCCCAAAAGTGCCACCAGGTGAAGTACCACGGATAAATCATATTGGAAAGTTACTACTTAGCTGTCTGACTTGACATCCTTTCTTATCAAATAATTACATATTCTGACCCTTTAGAAAGACACTTCAAAAGCTATGATTTTATGTTTCAATTCATCTGTACCTTCATTTGCAATGGCTCAGCTAGTTTACTCAAGGGTTTTGGAAACCAGACAGAACTCACGTCCTGCAGGAAGGAAAGTCAAAAGGGCCACTAAAGAGTATGTGTCTGTGTCTTAGTGTCATCCAGCTCCTCACAGCAAACAGCCTGTTCTTTTCAGGCCTGAAACCCAGCAAGGGCCACCAAGTCTAGCCAGAGTCCACAACAAACCAATCTGAGATCAGAGTGGAAGGTGAGAGCCCGGGAGCCGGCTGGGGCCCCTGGAAGCTTCCCACTCCACAGGGGCAGGAAGGTGGCGCCTCGCAGGATACCCACGCTGATCCTGGAAGGGGCCTGGGCCAGAGAATATGCTTGGGCTCAGTTAACCAGCTCAAACCACAGGGGAAGGAGCTGGTCACCAGCTTCTCACCATTTTATACCCAAAGACAAGGAGGTCAGGGCTCCGATGCCACTCTTTCATTTGTAAAATATGGAACCACTTTCTTTGCACTGTTTGAGGGGAGCAGTGGCTCCAGACTGAGTAAGTGGTTAAAAAATGCCAAATGCTATGATACTGACTTATAATTATTTCACAGAAATATACTCTTACTCTCAAACTATTTAAATAAGCAGGAACAAGATGTGGGAGAAGCAGCAGCAGAGAGGAAAGAGGAATAGCCAGGGAATTTTTTTTTTTGTTTTTTTCTTCTTTAAAATACATACAAAGTGTAAAGAGAAAATGGCCAAAACCTCAAAACTACCATTGTTGAAAACAATATTAAAAGGACACAATCTAAAATCATGCTACAAAAATAGTGTTATCTGGTTAACTAAATGTACATCTTTTTCCAATTCCATGATTGACAAGAGTGCTTATGCAACGCATGGAAGGCACCAGAGGTGAAGTGATTATTTGCCTTAAAATATACAAAGACAGAATTGCCTACTTTGCAAAAAAAATAGTCATACTTGTAAATAAATAGTTTAGTGTTTCTGCCATGGATTCCTGAACCTCTACAAATTTCAACATATACAAATAGTTTCAATTCTTAGCATTCTCTTAGAGGGAACCACGTCAAACAAAATCAATTAGGAAAAGCACTGATTTTATCCAAGGAGGTCAATTTGAGGCAAGATTCAAAAACTCATTTTTAAATGGGTTACAGAGTGAAAGAGTTGAGAGCAAGCGGCCCCTCTGGGTCTAGGTCAGCCTACGAGTCCATCCCAGGCATCCTGCCCTTGCCTCCACTAGCCCTCGGGCCAGCCAGATCTCCCTTCAAACCCTGAGTATTTGCCTTCCTCAATTCTGCAAAGAGGGGAACAGAGTCTTGAAACTTGCAAAATTGATTCTGGAAATAGCAGGCAAGCAAAGCAGGGCCTGTGGCAGGAAGCAGCGTGAGTCAGGCCTCCCCTTGGTGCAGGGGGCACTAGGTCTCCCTCGTCTCCTCACCATCCCTTCACTTTCCTGACAAAAATGGGGTACTTCCCACTGGGTGTCAGCACTATCATCCTAAGGCAACTCAGGCGTGACAGTTTTAGACTATGACCAAATCTCACACAAACCATTATCAGAATCTTGTTTCACACCATCTCTCTTTTCAGACACAGTTATTTAAAGAAACTCTGGCCTGGCCCTAAATCCCATCAGCAAAGCTGACTAAGGTGGTCTGAGATACATTCTTACTCCTAAACTCGAACTTTAAAGTTCTAATAATTCCCAGGGGTCCAAGCCAAAGGCTCCCTGGCCTTTTTGAATTATGCATCCCAAAGAAAACATGCCACTCCAGGGTGTCTAGATAGCAAGTCACCTAAATTAAAGCCTCAGCATAAAAAAAAACAAAGACAACAAACTTACCCTATGAAACAGATACACCATTCAAGGACCCATCATCTAAACTTTTCTAGGCAAGTTGCCAGTGATTCAGACTCAGCGGGCTTGTGGGTGATTTTTTCCTTACTGTTATGTTTGTGGAGTAGGAAAAACTAGAAAGGAAAAAAAAAAAAAATCTCAAAGGTTGAAAAACTGTATCCAAATGGAAAAAGAATATATTCCAGACAAAAGAAGGAAAAATTTAATAGGACCCACTCCTCCGCTTCAAGCTGAAGAGTGTACAAATGCTACTCACTTGCAGGAAGAAGAGATCAACAGAACATTCACCTTAAGAAGAAAATTCTTCTAGACCTAGCAGATACTGAAGGTATTTTCTCTCAGTTTCTAAATAAAAGAAACATAAAAGGTCAAATATTTTAAATTACTTTCTCAACCAGACAGTTCTTGTGATTTGAATGATATCTGCTGAGAATCAAAGAAACACAAGATTCTATAAAACTCCAGGGAAGTTTACAAAGCTGAAGGCTCAGGGTATCAGGCCTGCGTCCTGCCTGAGAGGGCAGCCAAGCCAACTCTGGACCCACACATTCCTGAGCCAGATGCCAGGAGCTCACCCACAGCACGGGGAAGACCTGTCCCCAGCATCCCACTCTTGCCCTCAAGCTGACTGTGGAACACGAGACAGATTTTCAAAGACAAGAGGACAGGAAGGCAGTTAAGCAAGTACCTGTTTCCAAGATAGCCTGAGCTGTCTAGTGCTAATGGCAGACAGCAGGGGTGTTCCAGGCCAACACTTCCTCCCTCCTCTCATATCCCAGACCTGGCCGTGTGTGGACCTCACCAGCCAACCAAGCTGTTGGGCCTGGGCATGGGTGCTGATAAAATATGACAGACCTGGAAAACACTCTGGATTCTGCAGCTTCACTAGGAACTAACAAGGCACCTAGAGACCTCACAAGCTAATGGCAGTCCCTGGAGCAGGAAGCAACTTGTTATTCTGCTCAAGAGAATCTATCAGCAGTTCTTAGCCTAGAAACCTTTTTCCCCTTCCTGATACCTGTTTAATGTCATTATTTCTCTATAAACAAGATCTGGAGAAGATGACAGTCAGGCAGTGGCACAATGACTTCATGACTGCTTTGTTTTGAACACAGATGAGACAATAGGAACCCTTCAATCATCATACTGCCTTGCAGAATTACTAAATTGGTCACGTGTCTCCACGCTCTATTCATCTCCTAGGTGCTAAGACCAATCCACAGAAACTCTGGCACAGAAAGGGATTAGACCTTGGTCTCCCTCTTAGAGCACATGGATAGGTGAGGGATTTCTCATGTGAATCTTCAAGAAAAGGTAAGCCTGGGCCACACGCAGGACATGACACACATAAGGGTTGCTCAGGGCTCATTCACTCCAAGCAAGAATTCACATACATGGGTGCACAAAGGTGTTGGTACTTGGTCTCCTCAGTCTTAACCCATGGCTGACTCACTAGGACAGCTTCCAAGAGCCACAGATCAAACTGCAAACTTGAAGAGAGCAAGAAGGTTTTCAACCAAGTCACAAAGCTCTCCCAGAAGCACCCGACATAGGGTGGAGGTCAGACACATTCCATGATTGACTGAAGGCATGAGCCTTCTAGCCAGGGGACAGTCACAGGGCCTGAAGGGCTGGGGGTGCCGCCAGCTTCCCAGAGCCAAGCCCTCAGAGCTGGGCCAGCCCTGCCAATGCTGGCTTCAGCTCACGTTGCCAAGGAAGATACGTATCAGGGCTATGCAAGCCGCCACACTCTTGCTTTTTCACCTCCTTTGGATGGCTGTTTACTTCAAATCAAACTTCTCTGATGAGATTTTAATCTGTAACTGCGTCTGTTCTTCCCAGCTTTATGTGCGGTCAACAAGTATCTTCAGCCTTTCATGACTGTAATCCCTCTTTAAGGCTCCAAACGTATTTTCCTCCCATTCCCTCAGCAGTGTGAAGGAAGGATATCAAAGAGAATCAGAGGGAAAAAATAGGAACTCCACCCAATCAGTGCCAAAATAAACTTTCTCTGAGAATGTCAGTGTTTGCATCCATCTAAAACCACCAGAGGTTCCACCAAATGCTTGAGGGTTTCAGCTATAGTCTCCAGGAACAAATCCAAATGCACATGGCAACTGCAGTTTCTTCAAGTTTTGCTTGAAATGTGAAAACAAATACCATCCCACCAGAACACGGAGAAAAAACTAAGGTCACTCAGCTTTCAAATGCCCAAACCGAACTGATATTGGTCCATACTGAAACTATTAAATGTAAAAATGCTTCCTTCAATTTGCCAAGAGGTCATTTTAAGGCCCCCAGATATAGACTGTCTTCTGTTTGCATACAGAGGCAATGTAAGAAAAATACAGGTATCTTCCCATTCACTGAAGAAAACCCTATTCCCTCCAGAGCTCTCATCACTTCGTGATCTATACATGATGAGAGGTGTGACCACACATTCCATCAACTAGAAAGTGTCCATGGTGCCACTTCCAGTTCCTAATTAAATACAAGGAGAACATTTACAAAACCAAAGGGGAGACTCATGGCACAAAGGATATTACATATTACAGGGACATAAATAATTCTGAAGAATCTACCACAAAGATGCAAATTAAGTCCTAAGTCACTCTGTGGCGTTTCATCCTTTTTGGTCATTCCTCTGCCTTTAGTTTCAATGACTTCAAAACTGTTTCTTGCAGCTGACAACACATCCTCAGGAGGCTGACCACCTGTCCCTGCTTTCACCATATGATCAAGTGGTCTTACTGAAGTGACTTAGGAAAACTTGGTCAACAAGCCCGCCTGAATGGTACCTTTGTTTTCAATCTCACTTCAAAGGCGGCCTTTTCTGGAGGCCAAGTAACATGATTCCCAGCAGGAGATTTCTGATAAAGCTCAGGGTGGTCCTTCCAAGTGGGCCCCATTTAATGCAAGGCTGAGTCTGTGGCCCTATTTTAAAAGGAACTCTCAAAGGGAGATAAGCCCAATTTTGACTTTGCAAACACACTCAACAGACCCACCAGGCAGCACACTCAGGCTGTGGGAACAGAGGGGAGGTAAGTTGCCAACAGGGTAGCAGGGTCAGCCCGAGGCAGACATGGTGCTCAGTCACATAGCCTGGGCCACTGCTCTGAACTCAGATCGTACTGAAGGTGTTGGTGCAGGGAACTAACCCCATCTCTGACCCCCAGCCCAGCAGCGTTGCCTGATCAACACTGTGAGATCAGACGCTGTCCTTTTCTGGGGAATGAGACGCCACATGTGCATAAGGGGACGCTTTCTCACACAGAACCCCCCCCCCCCACTGTCCCCTCGGAGTTATACACTGCTAAAGCTGTTAACATTTGTCAGCACTTGGTCTTGGGGATTTCTCCACGTTACTGCAAAATCTTCCTGCCAGTGTTTTTTTATGGTGAGGGCTAAACACAAAATGTTAGAGCTAGAGTGAGGTTTGTAAACATTAACAACAGTTCAAAGAGTGAAAACCTGACAAACTAAAACAATTTTTCCATAAAAGATATAATTAATCTCTAATTTTTTTAAAAAAACTACAGCATCATGGGGACTCACTGAGCTCATCCACCTCTCACAATAATCTTCACTTTATCAAGAATCAATCAGAAACCTTAAGTAGCTAGGATTTTCCCCACAACAACTCCCAGGAATGATGTCTGTACTTACAACACTGAGGTGCCCAGAGTGACAATTAGTGCCTTCTGAAACATGGGTGGAAGAGTGTGTTCTGATGCAAATTCAAGTATTTTCAAATCCTAGACAAATCTCAGAATCACTTTAGAACTCTTTGCAGGTATTTAGAAAATTAGTACACATCCCTAAAATAGAGGGTGTGTGAGGGTGTGTGTGTGTTTGTGTGTGTGCGTGCATGCATGCTGTTTTTTAACACAAACGTATACCTCCCACCTGCAGTCCATGAAGCCAGCAAATGGGCAATTGCTTTGGCTGCTGGAATAGGCTTATTTTGTTCATGGCTTTTACCAGAGCAGGTAAAATTACTGAAAATCTGCATTTCAGCTTCAAAATATTTAGGGTAGGAAGGAAACTGGAAAACAAGATGGTCCCCAAATTCCTGAAGAATCTGGGGTTTGGGAAAGTGATTCATTTGAGGAAGAATCAAGTGATTTCTCAGCAGAGTAGGAAACAAAAGGTCACCCTCCAATGAGTCAGAGGTCCCTGGAAGCCATCCTAACAGGACATCAGTTTTCCCCAGTCCTGTGGCTTTTGGGCTAGTGCTGGCTGCCTGGGGGCCCCAGCATGGAAGACTAGGAGTGGGGTGGATCCCGGCAGCCAGACTCAACACTGACTTGGAGCAGGTGATGCCTAAGGCTGCCTGAGAACAGCTGCCGACTGACCGTTCCAATGCTGTCCCTTCATTCCTTCACATTTCCCCCCTTAGCAGCCCCATTTAATCCAAAGTCTTGTTACAAATACACTACAGGGTGGCTCAGAGTCAAAGGAAAGCCTGTGCTTTGGGGCAGGTAAGACCTCAAGTGGACCTGGGCAGTGACGCCGGCTGCTCCCACAGCCCCAAACACTAGGGAACGTGGCCTCCTGACTCCACCACGGAACTGCTCACTGGGCCATTCAGGAAACCCTTTCCCAAAATGAACTTTTACCAAAGAGGACAAAATTCAACAGAATCACATGGAAATCTGACACGATGAGGGAAAGAAAACTTGACTGAGAGACAGGCACAAGGATGGGAGGGAGGAGGGTCCAGGCAGGTCCTCACGTGTCCAGGCGCTGGATCTCGGGGCGACTGTCCACGTCCCTGGACTCCGTGCGGGCTCGGATGTAGTCATTGGTGCTCTGCTGGCGGACGCTGACTCTCCATTTCTGCACTGCCAGGAATGTGTTCACTCCATATGCCGCAGTTGCCAAGAAGCCAAATATCTAAAACACACCAGCATAGTTAGTCCTCAGGCACGTGGCCTAGCCCCTCAAGGCTTCTGCTCTGCCAACTGACCATTACAATCTTCTGCCTCCATTCCTTGATCTTTTCCCCCTCTCAGAAGCCCCACTCAGAAGTCTTATTTCAAATACATATGACAGGGTGGCTCAGAGTCAAAAGGAGGCCCGTGTCCCCACCCCATACCTGCCTCTCACCTGGGCAGCTCGAAGTGAGCAGCTCACTCCAGAGTGAGAAGCACAGGGTTTAAATTATTCAGTAAGACTTGAGACATCTCCTGAGTGGCACCTGGGAGAGTAGCTAGTTTAATCGTTTATAAACCTTTTAATTCCCCCATTACAAAAATGATGCCTGTTCCTTGTAAACTGAGAACAACGCAGAAACCCAAGACATAAGAGAGGGAAAGTCCTACATTATCTGGTCCCCACCACCATGGCATTTCCACCTTAAAATGTCATGTAACTGCTAAACAGTGTCATGACTGCATTCAAGAACCCTCCATTCCCCAGGCAGGTAAGGCTCTTCAACAACATCACTGACAGATATCAAGGACTGTGTTGGAAACTAACTAAAGCAGGGGATCTTGAACTTGAGTGAGCATCTGAATCATCCAGAGGGCTCATTCAAATACATTTCTGACCCAGTAGCTCTGGAGTGGAGCCTAAGGACATCTAACAGATGCCAAGGATGCTGTTCTGGGGCCAATACTTTAAGAACCACAGCACTGAAGGGACTGGGACCCCCACTGGCTCAGTAACATCATCTTTAGCAATGGAAAAGCCACAGGAGGACAAGCAGGACACATGCCAGAGACAGGTGGGCAGGTCACAGGAGGTCCCCAGATCAGCCTGCTTGAACCATTTGAGTTTGCTTACCACGGCAGATATTTCTGCTCCGGTTCTGTGGTTTAAAGCAGCCAGTACGATTGAAGCAATAAAGAAAAAGAAAGTGCTGAGTCCAGTGTTGACCAAATCCTAAAGACAGAGACAAAATAAAACTACGTGAAAAGAACCATTCCATCTTTGCTCTAAAAGCAACTAAAGAACTTTCAAAATAAGACCCGCAATACCCAACCTCCCTGGTGGCTCCATATTTCAGTCTCAGTGTCACAGGGTGACTGGTCACACAAAGGAAGGCAAAGTTAACAGTTTATTACACTACTTGGTAAATCACCACAACAAAATCTACATTTTCACCAACCCTACTACCCTTTCTGAAGAAATAGTAACCCAAACTGCTAACACTAATTACCACTGAGAAGTCTAGTGCCATCTTTTAAAAACCACACTCAAATCATCTTGCTATGTGCACAAAGCTCCCCAAGGGTCCAAATGTAGGAAATCCCACCAGCGTTCCCCACACACGTGTGACATTCAAAACTGTTTCACACACAGAGAACACACTTAGCCAGACCTCACACTCTTTCTCAAGCAGTCTTTCAAGCCTCCATGTCACTAAAGCCTGGAGGATTTTCTCCTGAGCGTCTTGCACAGCACACATCCAGCGTTTCACAGATTTAACTCTTGTCTTACTTGTGGAAGGAAACATAGCGTGGTGATGAAAGGTCACAGCCTGAGCAGGCTCCAAACCACCCATATGACTTTGACAAGCTACTTTGTTTCTGTACTTTATGTGAGAATAGTGCCCCCTTCCTCCCAATGCTGTTTAAGGAATTACATAGAACCATACCCATGAACAGCCCAGCATGGTGTCTGGCCCACAGCTTGGGTCGCCTAGACATTTACTGTCACTTCTGTTATTACCACTTTGGCATTAGGCCCCCAGTAGGCTGGCTCATACCACAATACCTCTAAAACCTCTATAGGAAAAGAAAATTCAGGACAAAGCCCAAACTGCCTGAGTGCCAGGCTGACTACACTATCAACATCTGATGGGTCCTCTGGTGTGGCCTGGCTCCAAGGCTAATTTCCTCTTTTTAAAGATGTAAAGACACCCAGGCATGGTGACTCACACCTGTAATCCCAGCACTTTGAGAGGCCACGGCGGGTGGATCACATGAGGTCAGGTGTTCGAGACCAGCCCGGCCAACATGGTGAAACCCTATCTCTACTAAAAATACAAAAATTAGTTGGGCATGGTGGTGTATGCCTGTAATCCCAGCTACTTGGGTAGCTGAAGCATAAGAATCGCTGGAACCTGGGAGGCGGAGGTTGCAGTAAGCTGAGATCATGCCACTGTACTCCAGCCTGGGTGACAGAGAGAGATTCTGTCTCAATAAAATAATAAAATAAAATAATAAAATAAGATGTAAAGAGACAATGCTGGCATCATCAGTGCTGAGCCTTGCAGCAGACACCAACCCTGCTCCTGGCTCATGGAAAGCTCTGCTCAGATGCATCTGCCAGCAAATACACAGGTTTCAGCTATGATCTGCATAAGCCAGGGCAAATTTTTCACAAATTCAAACCAGGAAGTGTTTAGTTATGCTCAGCTCTGGGTAAGATGCTGTAGGGGTAAAAATATATATATAAAATATACTTCCCAAGGCAAAGACTATTCAGAAATCAGGGAAAAATATAATACACTGTGAGGTCAAATATCAAATAAAATAGTATCGACATTAACAGTGACAACCTAAAAACAGAGATGCGGCAAAGGGCTAGAAAACAAACAGGCAAAAATTTTAAAGTTGTAGGAGTATCAGCAGTTTTAAATTTGTTTTAGTAATTAATGATCATTAAGAATAGTGAATGGAGAATGAGATGATGAATGTAATCAGTGAATACAGGGGAAAAACATTCAAAAATCCTATTTTAAAAAGACAAAAAATAATCTTCCAACATGATCTGAGACTAAGGGACCAGATTAAACCACGGGAAAAATGCCAGCAATTGCTAATAAGAGCATAGCACATCTGCCTCCTCAAATCCCACTGAGCTAAATTTAAATACTGAAGCACTTGCTTAAAAGATGAACCTAATTGAGCATCCAGGGCTATGCTGTTCAATAGGGCAAACAGTAGCCATGTGTGACTAAAGTTAAACTAATTTATATAAGATAAAAAATTCTGTTCTTCAATCACACTAGCCACAATTCACGTGCTCAGTAGCCATGTGTGACAAGTTGCCACCTCAAGGGCAGAGCAGATCAGAAAACATTTCAATTGCCAGAGAAGCTGCTATGGCACCACACTGCCCTGAAACCAATAACTAGGTCACAAAGAAGACAGGGAAAGAAGGCCGGGCGCGGTGGCTCAAGCCTGTAATCCCAGCACTGTGGGAGGCCGAGGCGGGTGGATCACAAGGTCAAGAGATCGAGACCATCCTGGTCAACATGGCGAAACCCCGTCTCTATTAAAAATACAAAAAATTAGCTGGGCATGGTGGCACGTGCCC